ACGCTCAAAGGCGCTAAAGTAAGAATCAACTTCAGTCTCCCTAGAAGTACCACGTTCAAGTTCATATTGTCTAGTGCGCAAAAGTTGTATCTCATGCTCCTGACGCTTAGTTTCAAGATCAAGCTCCTTTAACCGAACAGCTAACCTAAGAGTTTCCGAACTCTGACCAATTAACGAATGCAAAACAGGATCCTCACTTATAACAGGAATTTTAGCTGAAGCCTCACCCCCAACTACCAGCTTTTCACCAGCCTCGACTGCATCTACATTCCCTAAATCTGAACTAGAAGGTTTAGTGGGTAAAATACCAGCCGCGACTAAGTTTTCCAGGAGCACCCCCCTGATCACCTGTTTAGTAGCCGTCTTAGGAACATATATATCATAATAATCTGCTACTAACAACAAATCAGACTTACGACAACCCAACAAAGCCTCGAAAGTAGGAGACTGTCTAAACGCCTCTATACTAAACTCCATCACAACGAACCCGAACACCCCCCACCACACAAAAAAACTGCCAATCAGAAAAAGAGAAAACACTTACCAGCAAGGGACAACATGAACGAAAAAACAGGACGAGCCCCAATTTTGTTACGTCTCCTAGGGGTAAGAGACACAAAGAGGAAGCAAGACTGCCCGCCAGACCAGAACAAAAAAAAAACCAAAGAAAAAAATTCTAGTTAATAAATAATAATAATAATAATAATAATAATAATAACAAAACAATAATAATAATAAACATATCAAATACGGATTTGACAATTTATTCAAAGCTTTGCACTTTGCACTTCATCAAAATTATTTCCAGCTTGCAACTAACGCAAGGAAACCCATCCATCCATCATCTAAACCGCTTATCCTTCTGGGTCACGCTGGGGTGCTGGAGCCTATCCCAGCTGTCATTGGGCGGAAGGCAGGATACACCCTGGACAGGTACGCAAGGAAACCAAAAAATAAATAAATAAATAAATAAATAAATAAAAATAAGGGAAACATAACTTCAAATAAAAAAGGGCAGGCCACCCCTATGTTTCCTTTCTAGAAAAAAAGAAACAAAATTACAAAAGTGTCTTCACTGGCCCACATGTACCTGTAGGCCAGCAAATCACCAACAATAACTGGTCTGTCGACTGGCGGGCAGCCAGGGGAGCGGAACCGTGCGATGCCAAATAAGAGAAAAAACGCTCCATATTGCTTCAACACCAAAGGCCTTTTATAACCGGCGCCAACTGGAACAGCCAATCACATGCCGGGAAAATCGGGATGTCAGTCAAGCAGCAACGTCCACCTGAGAACACTCAGACAGAGAGAGAGAGGGAAAAGGAAACATCCAGTCAGAGGACGATATGTTTTTACAATCCATTTTTTTTTCAATTCCAGATGTCTGTGTTGGGTCGGCTGCATTGTAAATGAGGGTCTCCCTTAATGTACTCCGAGTTTAAATAACGGTTGACCTCTTGCGAGAACTGTGTAACTTTTTTATGGCACCACATCATATACCAACGACTATGGGTCTTCAGCTAGCTATAAGAAAAAGCTAGCTCGGTATTCCCAGTACAGACTTCGTGGCAGAACTTGCAAAGTGACTAGCAAAGCCTTATGTAACTTTCTTTCACTTTTGATGTTGTTATTGCCGGTTCTGTATCGTACAGCTTGATGAGGGGGACTCAAAGCGCTATTTGTATTTACAACAGTGGTGTAAAAGTGAATTACCTAACTCTGTAGTAACTGTAGGAATTCTCTGTAGCCAAAAATACTAATTCTTGCACAATGATGCTTTAATGAACCCACTACTTAACACAGCTTATGTTAGATACAGCATTTAGCATACCCAGATCACTTCACATGGAGCTAATGGTCCTCAAAAACATTTACTTTTGTAAATTTTTTCATTATTATTATTTTATGCCTTTTGCCTATTTTAATTCTTTCTTCAGCACAGACCTAACAAAAATAACTGACTATAGCGATAGTGGAAGTCCAAAGAATACTGTTCCTGAACGAAAGGCATCATTTGAGATGAGCTTTTCACATTAGACCATGTCTCAGATTTCACTCCTGGTAGGCCATAGCACAAGAGACTTCAGTGTTCTGACTCATTTAACACACCTAATTTGTCTCACCAGCTAATTAACAGGAACTTCATGAGTTGAATTCAGTAGCTATGTCTCAACGTCAAGGATGCAGCTGAGAAAGGCTGTGATTCTTGGCCGTTATTTCACTGAAAGCTGTCCTATTTTGTAGGAGCCTTTGAATGTGGTCAACAAATGCACATTCATTTCTCAAAAATCAAAGGACTAAGCTGGTGTATTCTTGGAGACGTCTGAGTGGCGAGATGTTCTGGCACCAAAATTTGTCATGAAATGCAATGTAAATTTTAATGTCTTTAAATGTAATATTTAAATTAAATAAAATTAGTTAGAAGAGGGAAAAGGCAAGATAAAAAGCAGAGGTGACATCAATGGCTAACTCAATAGAACACATACTCAAGATCCCTTAGTGAGGCAAGTATAATATTCATTGCACATTAAGGGTCCTGGCACACAGTCGGCCACAGACATTCAGTGATGGTCTGCTGGTGTCCCACAGCCAGCTTGTTGTGTCCTGGCCTTAATGCTAATTCTAGCAATTCAAACTGCTTCTCGTAACATGGTTCATTCTTGGATTTTACAGATGTGGACCAAATTTATTGTCCAGGAAACACCCTAGACAGGCTGCCGGTCCATCACAGGGCAAACACACAGACATAAACATTCACGCACATACATTCACACCTAGGGGCAATTTAGTATCTCTACTTCGCCTGACAGCAAGTGTTTGAACTGAGGGAGGAAACCAAAGAACCCACAGGAAACCCATGCAGACATGCAAACTCTGCACTTAAATAGCTAAGCAGTATATTATTAATAACACACCTCGTATGTGTGCCTTGGCAAGCATATTTAAGACTCAGTTTAACTTAATGTTACATTACATTAGGTTTTGGAAATTAAGCTTTAGCTTACAGAGTTTTCATAAAAGTAAATGCTCAGCTGCATTGAAAACGAAGGTCACCCTCAATGTATTCCTGGGTAAAAATACAGGTTGATTGATTTTGCTGATCAGTTGAGCTGTTGCAACTGAAAATAAAAATTACGTGGGCAATTGCATACTGTATAAACTACCTGCATGATGTACTAATAATGTTTCCTGATCTTAAAATATGTGACTATTCCTTTGTATTTTATGAAAGCACAGCCACTTGTGTTTTAAAGATCTTTAGCTAAATACCTAAATAGAGGTTTTAAATACAGAGACAAGGTGTTGTAACGTTTGAGGCATGGAGGCGGGATGCAAATGCGAGTTTTTATTGAAATGAGAGTCCATAACAAAAACAAAACAAAACCAAACTACAAGCGCTACAAGCAAACAAGAGACAAGATTACATTCACAATGCAAGACGAAGACTGAACAAACACAGGGGTATAAATACACAGAGGGGAAATGAGACACACCTGGGACTAATGAGGGGCGGAGGTACAAGCAGGTGGAACAGATAACAAGGGGGCAGGACCAGGGAGGAGACACAGAGCAACAACAAAAGCACATGGTACAAGAAAACAAAAGACACATGGCTACAACAGAGGGGAAGAAACAGACACTCAGAGGGAGAAAAGAAGGAATCCGTGACAGAACCCCCCCTCCTAACGCGCAGCTCCCGAGGCGCGAAAAACGAAAGCTATCCAAAGTGGGAGCCGGGTAGGAGGAGGGACCGGGAGAACATAAACAAGAAACTATACAGGGGACAGGACACCAGACCGGGGTAATACACTAAACCGTGCAAGGGACTGGACAAGGGACAATGACGAAACAGACAGGAAACCAGACAGAGGAGTACACAGGAAATTGGATAGGGGAATGGACAGGAAACTCCTGAAATGACAAGACACAAGAATGGACAGTAGACTGAACATGGGACTGGACCGGTGATGAGATAAAGGACGAGACAGATGAGACATGAGCGGAAAGAGACGGAACAAAGGGCTGGACAAGAGATGGAACACGCAACTGGATAGGACCAGACAGTGATGAGACTGGAAACCAAAGTGGAGTGAGAACAGGAGACGGAGTTAACATAGACATGGGAACAGGAACAGACATGGTTACTGGAACAGGGACAGAAATATGGACAGGAATGGGTACAATAAGACCAAACACAGAAACAGGAACACTGATTGAGACGGGTACAGATATATACATGGTTATAGGGACAAAAACAAAACTATGGACTGGAGACTTGGGGGAAAACACAGAATGAAGTTCATGCAGGCGAAGGAACTGGGTGGCAGACTGAGCAGGGAACTGGAAAGTCGGCACTGAAGCAGGACACTGGAAGGCCGTCACTGGACGCTGAAAGATTGGCATAGGAGGGGGTCGCTGGGAGGTTGGCGGCGGAGCATAATGCTGAGAGGCCAGCACCGAACCAGGACAGGAAATGAGAAAAGGAGTGGCCCAGGGTGCAGGAGCAGAAACTGTGGCATCCCAGGGTGCAGAAGCAGGAGTGGCCCAGGGAGCAGGAACTGGGACTGGTGACGCTGAGGCCATGGGCAGGTCTGGGGATGTAGAGGCTACCAGCAGGTCAGGGAACTCGGAAGCAACGTCCTCGGCAGCAGGCTGGGCCGCAGCGACGTCCTCGGAGGCAGGCGGGCCTGCTGCGACGTCCTCGGAGGCAGGCTGGGCCGCAGCGACGTCCTCGGAGGCAGGCTGGGACGCTGCGACGTCCTCGGAGGCAGGCTGGGACGCTGCGACGTCCTCGGAGGCAGGCTGGGACGCTGCGACGTCCTCGGAGGCAGGCTGGGACGCAGCGACGTCCTCGGAGGCAGGCGGCCCTGCAGCGACGTCCTCGGAGGCAGGCGGCCCTGCTGCGACGTCCATGGCTGAGGCTGGCGGGCCTGCTGCGACGTCCATGGCTGAGGCTGGCGGGCCTGCTGCGACGTCCATGGCTGAGGCTGGCGGGCCTGCTGCGACGTCCATGGCTGAGGCTGGCGGGCCTGCTGCGACGTCCATGGCTGAGGCTTTCTCCTTACTAGGGAGCAACAGCTGAAGCCGACAGAGCAGATGGTAGCTCTCCTGAAGTCTGACCTCATTTTCCTTGATAAGGTCCTGCAAACTCGCTGCTTCCCTGTGTGGTCTTGCATTCTGTAACGTTTGAGGCATGGAGGCGGGATGCAAATGCAAGTTTTTATTGAAATGAGAGTCCATAACGAAAACAAAACTACAAGCGCTACAAGCAAACAAGAGACAAGATTACATTCACAATGCAAGACGAAGACTGAACAAACACAGGGGTATAAATACACAGAGGGGAAATGAGACACACCTGGGACTAATGAGGGGCGGAGCTACAAGCAGGTGGAACAGATAACAAGGGGGCAGGACCAGGGAGGAGACACAGAGCAACAACAAAAGCACATGGTACAAGAAAACAAAAGACACATGGCTACAACAGAGGGGAAGAAACAGACACTCAGAGGGAGAAAAGAAGGAATCTGTGACAGGTGTAATGTAATTTCAATGTGGACACTGTGCATTGTGCATCATCAATGAGCAGATCATCAATAGGCCAACGATGAGAAAGGTGCCCAAAAAGATGCATGTTACAGTACTTAATGACTACAGGCTGGTCGCCTTGACCTCATAGTAGTCATGAAGTAGTCATGAAAGTCTTTCAACACCTGGACCTAGCCCAGCTGAAGACTATTACAAACTTTTTTCTGGATCCCCTACAAGTTTGTCAATGATGTGGTCAACTTGGACCTGCACCTCATGATACAGCATTTCAACAGTCCAATGTTAGACATATGCTAGGGTTCTTTTTGTAGAATTCAGCTAGGCTTTTAACACCATTGTGCCAAAGGTCCTGCAGATCAAAATGTCCTAACTGTGTGCTGAATCTCATCTGCCAGTGAATCATAGATTTCCTGACAAACAAGAGACATCAGGTGTGGCTAGGAAAACATGTCAGACATATGGTCCTTCAGCACTGGAATAAGTCAATGTCAAAGTCAAACTTTATTTATATAGCGCTTTTTACAACAGGTGTTGTCACAAAGCAGCTTAACAGAAAAATCCAGGTCCAAGCCCCCATGAGCAAGCCAATGGCGACAGTGGCAAGGAAAAACTGCCTAAGAGCAAGAGGAAAAAATCTTGAAACAAACCAAGACTCAAATGAGGAACGCATCCTCCTCTGGTCAACACCAGATAGTAAACAGCATTAGTATAATAAAATACAAAAGCTGGGAAAAACAGGTGAAGCAATGGTTATAATTACATAGTTTGAGTTTGTGCAGCAGCGGCAGCAGCAGTATCATCAGAAAGGTCAGTTCATCCAGGTGAGGTTTGCATAGGGTTATACAGTGAGAAGCTCCTTGGCGGTCAAACAGGTCCAGAAGGCTGGCAAGCAGTGGGCACCTGATCAAGGCAGAAGAAGCAACAGCATCAGACCGCACAGGATGGGCAGCTGTTCAGCTCGGCAAAGAAAAAGAAAACACACAGAGGATTAGTTCTGTAAAGAGTGACTTATTACAGTTTACAGGGTTAACAGAGTGCAGCAGAGACTCTGGCAGGTCTAGGTATTACAGCTTAACTAAAAGGGAAAGCCAGAAAAGTAACAGAGACATTAGGGCTCCCTGAGATGTCAGCGCCCCTCCGCTCCACCATCAGCAAACCTGAGTGAACGACGTGAGAGCAGCGGCAGCACCAACACTCCCAATTTACTCTTTACTCCCATAATACTCTATGTCCATGAACCCCCAGATCTGCACCTTTTATCTAACAGGGAAAGCTAATTACCAAATGCTTGACTAAACAAGCAGGTTTTTAGCCTAGACTTAAAGTCTGAGGCTGTGTCTGAGTCCCAAACACCAACTGGGAGATTAATCCAAAGCTGGGGGCTTTGTATGAGAAGGCTCTACCCCCTGATGTAACTTTATTAATTCTAGGTACTAATAGTAAGCCAGCACCTTGTGAACGAAGTAGGAGTGAATAACACAAAATTGTACCACAAACGACTGCATCTCCAAGAAATCGTCTGTGAATTCCCTGGAGTTTGTGGATGACACCACCGTGGTCAACTTTAGAACCAATAGCAATGATTCTGCCTACAGGAATGTCAAGCAGTTGGTATCCTAGTACAGTCAGAACAACCTGTTGCTGACCACCAAGAAAACTATGGCGATGGTGATGGGTTTCAGACACATCCCTCAAGATAGCACCTCACTTGCTCACTTGGTCATAAAGTGTGCTGGCAAGATATAACTGACCCTTCTCATGCTGGATATTATTACTTCCCTCCACTTCCCCCTGGTAGAAGATTGAGGGTTTTCAAAGCTAACACAGTAAAATATGCTGACTCCAATCTGCATCATAATGCATTTTTGTACAACTCTACAAACATTCATAGTTGATTTTTTTGTTTCCTCTTGAGACCCCTGCACATACATACATATTCACATAATCTTTTTTGATTGCTTGCAAACCAATTTACAAGTGTAACAGCACAATCTGTTGGACAGATTTTGTGTTCTTCTGAAAATTGCAATCTAAGGTATGAAAAGCAAAATGCAAAACGTAATGAAATTTTAATGGCATGACCATCTTTTTGGCAAGATATATAAAAGATATCATCATTTATATATCATACTAATCATAATAATCATCATATTATATATCATATCTGTAAAGTTTGTAACACTACTACAATTTTTAAATACACACAAACAGACTAAGATAACATACAGTGCAGGGAGAGGCAAAAAAACTGATAGGCTTATATAAAGCCTCCACCTAAATAACAATAAAATTACACAATATAATGAAAAATACAAAATAATATATATAAAAATAAATAACGTAGCGAATGGTAACCAGTTTTAAATATTTATAAATATTTATAAGATCATGCTGCTTAGGACTCCCTTGAACCATACTACCGCTGTGGCTATGCTCCATCCACTGCTTCACTCCACGCTGTCTGTGATGATCAACATGTAATAGACCTATCTAAAAACATTTAGCAAGTTAGAAAGACCATCTTTTGTGGTGCTTTTATGAGTACTGTGTTCTGCAACATAGGCAACAACTTATTGTACCTGTATGGGCAACAGATCCAGGAAGGAGTAATTTCCACATATGACAACTCTTGCAGACCCACTTCCAAACCTGAAAGACGTTCCTACCTTTTGTGATTAATGAGTAAATCTTGTAGAGTACACATTACCTCGTGTTTAAAATGGTGGGCATGTGTGCATAAGGTAGTTTTGGCAGACTTTACAGAGCCATGCTGTCAGTGATTGTCATCATGCTCCTATTCACTATTCCTAATCACTTAAAAAGTCCCTATGTTGTACAGGCTAATGTGGGCCAACCTAGGACAAAAGATGGCCTAACTGTGCAGGCGACAAACAAAGGGTTCCACTGTCATTAATGGTGGTATTATTTTACAGAGGTCCCTCTTGTGTCTCCATTTCTTAACCTTCTCTCCTTTTGTTCTGTTTAAAGAGGGATTTCACATTTTTTCTTCAGAATGTCTGCATAAATCTGTCATTAAGATGTAAGTAGTTTGGTGTAAAATGAAATTGTAGGAAAAAAACAGGATTTTTTAGAATGGTGGTGGGGAACCAGGGCTTACGATGTCTACAACACAAATTTTGCCTTTTTATTTGCAATCCAAAATGACCAGTGAACCTACATGTGACTACTGAGTGTACAAATTATAACTAGCGTTTAGCTATACGTTTTAGCGTATAGCTAGCGTTTCTCATTACCGAAGGAGACATAGGTTTTGCACAAGTCGTTGAGCTTTATTAGCCAGTTGTTGTTGGCCAGAGCTACGCTGTACACAAGCAGAATTTGCCCTTACACTACACGACTTTTACCCCGATTCTCAGTCTGGCCGAGTTTGCGCTATGTGGCTCTAGTCTGATTATTTTTGAGTCAGTAGAAGTCGACAGTTGGAGAGATCGAGCAGTGTGCGAGGGGCGCAGACTCAGATTTTTGGTATGTCAAACATGTTTGATTCTTTCGACCCGACTAAACTGGTCAACGACTCAATCTACAGGGACTCCTGCCACAGCCAGTGAAAACCGAGAGCGCAAAAGAACGAAATACAGCAAGTAAACAAAGAAAAATGGCGGAAAGTCATTCACGTGTGGAGCGAAGCTTTTTAATAAGTTTAGGGCACAAGCACAATCGTGTACTTTTAAAACTCCCACATTAAAAATACAAGTAAAAATACCACATTAATCACATTTTTTTAATCCATGAGCCTCGCTTAAATATGTTTACCTGTTGCTTCTTTACTGTGTCAGTGCAAACAGCAGAGAAAACAGCAGCAGCAGCGAGCAGCTCCATGTTTGTTTATTTAGGTCTCCTAGTAACGGGAGAACGCGAGAGTTAGCGTGAGTTAGCGTGAGTTCGCGCGAGTTCCGTTCGGTTCAGTTGTGTAGTGTGTAATCCCCAATAATTCAGTCGCCCAAAAACCAGTCATATAGTGTGAGATGCTCAGTCTTTTTATGATCTGTTAAGACTTTAAAAGTCGTGTAGTGTAGCCAAGACTTTAGGTGTCAGCTCTAGAGTGATCTTTGTTCTTCCTGATCTACACAGAAACACTTCCAGAGAACTTGTAGAGAGGAGAACTACCACTCTGCAATGTCTTCCGGGTTTCTCAAACGCTAGAGGGAGTTCCCGTTAGCCGTTGAGCGCCATTTACTCCCATTCATTGAGGACTCCCTCGCGGGCGCCCTCTGCTATTTAGCAGTCCTGTTTTTGTTATAACGGGTGAATAGGAAGTGGCCAGGCACCTCATAAACCGGCTCTGGGAGAATTACCAGAGAACTTGTAGAGAGGAGAATTACCACTCTGCAATGCCTTCCGGTTTTCTCAAACGCTAGAGGGCGCTCCTGAGTGAGTCCAAAATGAATGGGTTCATATGGGGCATTTGAGCAAAATCATAGTTTATGAATGTTTCATAATTTTCATACTCGAAAATGCACTTCTTTCCTCAACACAGAACAGCATCAAATGTTTCAGTACCGCTGACATATTTTTTATAGTTTTTAAACTCAAGTTATAAGGCTTGTAAAAGTGCCTAATTTGTAATGATGATGTCATTGACTGCGAATCGCTTTACGGCAGTCGCCATGAACAGACGGGAGTATTTTCGGACCCATAAGAAATTCCCGAGGATTCACGGTTAAGAAGCTGTGGTTTGTTTCAGCTTTGCCATTAACTTGTGCCAGCTGAATTTTCAGATTCTTGCCTTGTTTCTAACAGGTAATGTACTACGGGAACATTCGAAGCAGGTATGTGAAGTTATTCCACATGTAACTTATACATATGTTTCAGATTATGTAGCTAGCTATCTAGCTAACAGCTGAGCTGGTGCTAGTTATGGAGCTTTTAAAACTTAGGATTTTTCTTTCACTCACGCAGCTCGCAATACCTCCCTCACAAACATATAGCAACGACACAGAACAGATGCAGTTATTTAAAACAAGATGCAGTTATTTAAAAACGTCCATCGTTACCATTCGTCCCATGAAATAAAGTTCCTTAAAAGTTTTTTCCTGTCTGAATCTATCATGACATAATAAGTAAGAAAACTCTTTAGCACTACTCTTAGCCAAACAAATTTCAAATAAGAATACAAAGAGTTCAAAATCAATTTAAGAATTGTTGGGAAACCAGAGAAAACTTAAAAAAAATAATAAAGATAAAAAAAAAAATAAAATAATAGAAGAACATTATGGTGTTGTTGTAAGTATTATTATTATAATTATCCTTATGTTCAAGTAACTCAAAGTTCAGGCTGTGAAGGTTGACTTTTTTTGGTGGCAATGCAGCTGTGTTGTTGCATCTTAAGATGTTTGTTTCTTTCTCTGATTTCAGCCCCTATCCTGCACATCACAAATTTTTCTATTGGTTTTGTTTCAGTTAGGTTGGCGTGCTCAGGATGTGCATGGAAGATGAATTCAAATGTCCCTTTTTTCACATTTGACATGGCTGCTGTTGTATGGGGTTTAGACCACAGCTGCTGAATGTTGTAAGTGAATTCAGCCTCCAGGACATTCACTGCATTAAAGGAGTAAATAGGTTCGCAGTCGCAGTGAACCTCTTCTCAGAAATGAAAGGATAACTCTCCACAGCAGTGTAGCTGTGGTCCTGATGAGTTAAGTTGCAGAACATCTGCTCACATATTTCACAGTTGCGAACTGGATCCTCCAGGAGGACCTGGATAAGCCAGCCTGCAATGTATGCGAGGGCCTCCTCCTTGATGCAGTCGGTCATTACAACCTAAGAATTGAAGCACATCAAAAGATAATGATACAAGTGTGTTAAATATAAACATTTCAGGACTAACTAAAATGTCTACAACATTCTGTTCTTGTTCGTCTCACCTCACTTTGCTCAAGGATGTTAAGTGCTGAGCAGGAATGTTCTTTGTTTGCAGCAGCTGAGGAGGCAATGAAGGAAAATTGGGTAGAGGTGGTGGCCACAAGGGTGACATCCTCATCTGCTTCACAGTTTGAGGATGTCTGGGAGTGAATAATATTTGAAACACAGAGACCTTTCAAGGATGCTGTGAACTCCTGTGGGCTTGGGTTGTACTTGTGACCCTCTTTTCCACAAATCAAGGAGAACAGATTCTGTAAGAAAGCAGTCTTGAAGTAGATTTTTTTAAAATTTTTGTTGTCTGTTATTTTCTATCTGTTATTGTCTTACTTTATTTATCATTTTTGTCCCTTACCTGAGTGCAGTCTTGGTTTAATTTTGAGGTACACCGATACTTGAGCCCTGCATCTGAGCACCACTTGAGAATTGTGAGGACGCTTTTTATTGTGAGGCACATACCATTTTGGCAAGGCGGCTTCCGTCCAGACCTTGGTGAAACGTAAATAGTAACAGTCAACATTTAATTTGATTCCATTTATGTGGTAAAACAGTTTTTTTTTTGCTATTGTAGTAGAACTTGTTTGTGAACTTGTTTATGTGGTTTGTATGGTGTATTGTGTTTTAATTTTGTAGGGAATGACCTGAATTGCCATCTTGACACCCAGTCCAAACAGCTCTGTAGGTATGCCAGCTTCTCCTCACTATGGATGCTGAGAGGGCACCGCCACAGGTTTGAGTCCTTGTTGGATCTTCAGAGTGATTGAGTAGGTATTTTTGACCATTAATAAGTTAATTTATGTATTGTCATAGGTAGTGGAAACTTTGATGAATTCAGTACATGTGGGAAGTCATTACCTTGAATTCAGGACATCAAACAACCTGTTCATCCTCTCAACAGCTGTGTACTTGGCCTCTGGCGGGAGTCTCTTTAGTGTGACCATTGCATTTGTTCCTGGATTGAAAATGCCAGTTCAGATTAAAAATGGCTATGTGAATATTGTGAATATTGTCTGTGACATACACCCTCTATTTTTGTAAAGTTCAAAGAAAAAAGAAAAAATTAAAATCATATGTAATTTAAACATACCAGCAGAGACCGTGTGACTGAAAACTTGGGTGGTGTAGCTCACATGCATTTTTGAAAATGCTGGCAGGAGTATATGCTTGTCAGTCAGTTTTGGGGCCATTCTGATCACATGCATCTTGTCTATTTCATAAAAAGATGCTATATGCCTCCAAAGAATAGTGTGGCTTTCAGTCTGTAAAAACATGTATAGTGGAATTTTTAATAACAATATAATTGATTGATCGCTTGCTCATATTCAGGTACATTCTTAGACTGTAAGACAAATCTATAGTTTTTGATAGTGTGGTTATTGGTTATTTACAAATGGAGGGAGTGTGGCTCATAGAACAGGCAGTAAAATGCATTTTAATTTTTACCTTCAAGCCATGTTTGAACAAGTTGTTCCTTATGAACTTGATCAAATGAGGGACATTGAACACTGGAATCCTCTTGTCTTCCACTGTAGTACAATGGGACTCTCCATGAGGGTTCATAGTTGCCCCCAGCTGCTGAAGGGCCTTGATATTAGTGGCAGCTTGGTCACACACAACTGCTTGAACCTGAATGTAGAAATGAATGAAATAAATTAAATGGAAGCCTACAACAGTGGCATAAAGCCAAAGTATGCAACCAAAAATTGTGATACTGACACTCAGTCTGGTATTGTCAAGGTGCTGGGTTGCCTGTGTGATAATTTTGGCTGTTTCCTCTGCTGACATTGAGGAAGGTGAAAAGAAGTATCTTGGTGAGGGGAGGCAACGCGAAGACCTTTCGAAGGTATCTGTAGGTTTTTGGGCTTTGATAATATATTTGAAGCCACATATCTTTCATTTTGCTGGTAAACCTTCTCCCATTTCCTCTCTTTCCAGCTTGGGACAGTTGTGTCCTAATAAAATCTGCACATTCTGCAGAGCAGTTTTGCAGCAGGTCTTGAAGAAACACTTGATGCCTTGGCAAGAAAAGAATAAAGTTAATAAAAATGTATGTATGGTAATGTAATGCATGTCAAGGTTTACTATCAAAATTGCCTGGAAATAAGTGGTTAACTGTACTTTGAAATGTGATGTTTTCTCTTAAAAGATGTTCTTTGCTTGCCCCACTCTTTAGTCAGCAGCTGTTCTAAGTGCTTTATTCTCTGTAAGTGTGATTGACATTCTTTATTTTATTACATGTAATGACTAAGGGAAAGTAATGACTGAGACAGGAATGAATGGACATCACCTTCTCCTTTTGTTCCAAAAGCCTATTAAAGGTAGGTTCCTCTGACAGAGGGCTTCATCACCATTTTCTTGCCTCACTGTTGGATGTGATTCCTCTCCTATTTCCTGTGCTTCCCCTATAATTTTCTGTCTGCCCTGTTCTTCATTGTGTACACAAGCCATATGAGATGTGAATATCAGTACTAATGTATTATTTTTTTATTTAGTTTTTTTGTGTGTGTGTTGGTGTTACTATTGTTACCTTGAAGCGTTATTCTTCATCTTTTAGTTGGGGGCATAGCAAGTAGAGGTGGATTTCTGCAGCTCACCAGGGTAGGCACAGCATCATCAGTGAGTTATTTTTTCCAATTACACTAAAGAAAGCAAAATGCTCAGTCAAACATTTTTAAAAAATTAATAATACTTTGATTTCACATTGGGCAGTTTGTTTCTTACTTTAATGTACTTACAATCTTTATGAAGCACTTCTCAAAGTGTATTTCACACTGAATATCCTCCTTGAATCAGTGACTCATGGGACATGTGCTTGCTAAGGTCACTTCTACGAATGTTGAGCCATTTTTTTCCTTCTGAAATGTAGACATAAATGAAATATGAATCTTTTCACAGGATATGGGTGGATGCATGTAACCATTACACAGGTGTCTCATTTTGTGTTTCTTTTACATATCTATATACACTCTATACACTGACCAACCACTTCTGTAAGTACACAGAAAGGATACTGTTGTGGTGGTGGGTGTTGGTGTGTGTACTGCAGTGCTGAGAATGATCCACCACCCAAGTTATACCTGCTCTGTGAGGGTCCTGTGGGGGTCCTGACCACTGAAGAGCAAGGTGAAAGGGGACTTACACAAAGTATGCAGAGAAACAGATGG